TATTTCAATGTTTATTCTTGGAATACCCCTTGTGCCCACATGTAATTACACAAAAAGAGACTGCGAGGACTAGGTACAACCACAACCCACATTACATTAGAGAACAAAGGTACCAATTGACCCCTCACCTCAGAAACTGGACAGCTCTTCAATATAAATCACAGTGCTGGGCCAGATGCTAAATTGCAAATAAATGTTCTTTCACAGGAGGCTAATGGGATTGAGATAATGATGCTATAAGGTCTCCCTATGAAGGGCCCCGTGCCATATAAAACTAAAACTTAAGGGGTAATGTTTCATTAAATAATGGAAAGTTCTAAGAAAATCAAGAGATAAAAAACCCAAAGCAGCATATGAAACTTTGGGCTATCTGCCAGATTTATTATCTGTTATTTCCACCTTCCCCGCACCCCCAAATAGTGGGTATTTGCCAAACAATGTAAAAGACAAAACAAATGAAAGTAGTCATATTTCAAGGGCACTTTTTCCTGGTTCAGCATTTCCTCTTTTTCATCACTACATCTATCACACTCATTTATGCACGCTCCTAATAAACACTAATATTAAAAGAAACTTAAAACAAAACAACAACAAAAACCTGTCATCTTGAAAACACACAGCCTTGGCCAAGCATACCACAGCTGGATTCCCAGGGGAGTCAGGAAGCTCTGAATTCATCTCCCACTTCTCAAGGACAAGTCAGAGCTGAAGTCTTTAGAAGTGTCCTCAGTATCTATCACTAAGGGCATGATTAAGTGCCGTTTGCAGTTCTGGAACCAAGCCCAACACTGAAGGAACACTGCCTTCTCACACAGTATGTTGCCAATACATCACCAAAAAGTTCAAAGCACTTAAGCACTAATTTCCTTGTGAAAAAAAGAAACATCCCGACTCCAGCTGTCTACGCAGGATGTGCTAGCTCCCTCATCGTCTGATAATCCGACATGTCTTCTGAGGCTTGTTTTCTGTGATGACAGAAAATAACACACCATTCATAAGGAAACTGGCTAGAGATGTAGACTGAACAAAACTGCAAACATCACATGCACCTGCACTTCTTTTGGTCACGAAGATTCATCAGCATCTAAGTGACTTGTGGCAAACACGGAGTCCTAGAGATTGCTGGGTTTCTTTTTAAGACGCTGCAGACAAAATAAGCTAATACTCTGAGAATGTAATGAATTTACCTCACAAATATACTTCCTTTCTTTCTATTGCTTCCTAGACAGAGTTTTTGTTCAGTGAACCCACACACCCTTCAGACTTTGTTATCTGTTCCAAATAGCACCTTTCATGCTGAGTTAAATATCAAATAAATTAAAAAAAATCCTTTTCTCTTATGAATGAACTTTCCAACTTGCTTAACCCCCTCCCCGGACATCTGCTTTCTGATGAAACCCAGGAGCTTTTGAGTAGAACAGTCACTGTGTGGTCTTAAAAGAACCACAGTGCACAAATCTCTCTTGAAATATGCACTCGAAATTTGGAAAGAAACTTTCTTGGAGCTATTTGACATAACATTCTATAAAAATGATCCAAGGGATGACACATTTTACAGCTCCATATTTCGTTTACAGAAACAAGTCCAAGTATGAAATTCATACCAGAAAAAAAAAAAAAATCCAAAACAGCATCATTCCATTATGCTCTCCCCAACACACAATTCAGGGATTGTCCTAGTAAGATAACTAGTCTTTGCTGCCATCTAGAGGTAAAAACTGTGTGGTGAAATCAGCAAATAAAGTCTAACTTGTGAACTTCTTCTAACCTGTAAGTTATCACCACCCCAAGCCAATCTTCTTCACCAACACATGTCAGTATTGCCTATAAGCTCCACCACTACAGTGTTTGATGTTAGGTAGGTATTCAGACAGAGACCTGTGGTGCTCATGAAAAACATACCTGCCCTGACCTGACTCCCAGACAATCATCTTTAGCTCTGCCATAACATCTGGGTGTGCCATTTAGTTGAATCACAGACATCCTGACAGGTGACCACTGGGCCAAGATGCGCTAGACTCTCATAGTGCTAAAATTTCCCTACCTTGGCAGGTCAGAGTTCATAATGAAAGAAAATATTAAGAGCTTCAGGCCCTGCAGTGGTTCTCTATGTGTGGCAGGCTAACCACTTGCATCAGAACAAATCACCCTTGAGAATTTACTAAAGGTGTGGATTCCTACACATCCACAGAACAATTTAAACAGGTCCTCACCATGGACTTCTGACACTAAACTGGAAAACTGGAATTCTGGAAAGGTTGAAACATTTCAACTGCAGCTTTTGTTGTTCATGGTTAGATGAAGTAGGTGATAATCACAGAAATGTCCTCATCACTGAGAATTTTCCTTTTTCATCTCTTAATAGTTTACTGTAGCATCTTTAATTGTATGATTTTAGAAAGTGTTGGGACTAACAAAGAGCACTTATATCACTAACCTGAGCAGACCACTAATATGGATGCATTTTCATCTACAGGTTTAATCTGAAATTGAACATGCTATAAACCTAACTTTTTTAGTGCCACTACAATGTCTTAAGTTCCACACCGGACCTCACATGACATGTAGTGGTTAATACACAGTTACACTAAAAATAGTGTACAAAATTATATTCATTCTATTCGTGTAATGTACATCGGAAACACAAATGGTTTCTGTGTTTAGATGTGGATCTTACTGTGGATACACAAATAAGTTCCCAAAATTAAGACATTCAAACTACTCGTGACCCCCAGTGTTTCATAAGGGACAGTCAATCTGTAGTTCTTTCTCTTCACATGTAAGTATTTAAAGTGTGCATGGTCTAAATCCAGTTTCTTAACATTTATGTGGAAGCAGTTCCCTGTAACTTCAATGACTTGTAATGACAGCATAGTGTTTTTACGTAATCATACACTAATTCATTTACCACACCCCCATTATTAAGAATTGTTTTCTATGTCCACTTTTTTCATTCTAATTAATGCTAAAATAGCTACCTTTACTTTTCTTTATTTCCTAGAAAAGATCTCTAATGAAAAAAGTGACTAAGTCATAGGGGATGGATTTTATGGTACTTGATACACAGTGCCAAGTTGCTCCCTACTTCATGTGGACATTGATTATTATTATTAGTAGTAGTAGTATTCTTAAAAATAACAAACACATGAAGAATGTAGATGCAGCATGTTAGTGTTACATGAGACCGTAAAGCCAAAATGACATGTAGGACACACGAGAATGGAATGGGACTATCACCTCACCTGGTATGTTTAGGATTAACAACAAAAAGATACTAAGAATATTAACCTACATACAGAAAACTTGACTACACATACCAAAAACCAAGTGTATTTCCAATATTGTTTATCCTTACTGAAGGAAGCCAAATCTATGCAGCATTTCTATTTGAAAACTACTTATGGCACTATGTGTTTAAGTGACTGTGACTACTAAATTCAATTCTAACTCATTCTGATATACTTTTTAAATCAAATATTCAATGATTTAGGAGTTAAAAAGCTCAATAATATCAGACTATATTTGGGATAATGAAATAAATGAAAACCATATATACTATATTTTAAGGTAAATATAAATGTAAATACACAAAGGAACTTCAATGTTCTGAATCAGTATAATAAAAATGTTAAAGGATGAAGATTAGAAGATGGTCTCATAAAAACAGTGTTAAAAATCGACAACAGTGTTAAAAATTAAGATATTTGACAATATTTACATTTATGCACTCAAAACAAGAAAAGAATGGTGTAACCTGGGGTGGGGGGAAAGAATAATCAACTCTGGCAGAAAGACTGTCACGAGTTCAAATCATGCCTGGGGCACATGGTGAGTTCCATACCAGCCTAGAATACAGTAAGATCTAGTCTCACACCCACTCATACACCACTACCACCACATCACCACCACCAAACAACAAAAACTAAACAAACAACAACAACAAAGGAAGAATAATCAAATGGACTATAAAAATGTATGGTTAGTTGAAAACTTCCCATCTATATGCCAGCAACTATTCTTTTTTTATTGTTTTTAATTTATTTTAATTTTTTGCTTTTTGAGACAGGGTTTCTCTGTGTAGCCCGGGTTGTCCTGGATCTTGCTTTGGAGACCAGGCTGGCCTCTAACTCACAGAGATCCACTTGCCTTTGCTGGGATTAAAGGCATGAGCCAGCACTGCCTGGACTGCCAACAAATACTCTTAAATATTCTCAACTATTCTCATTTTTTTTTTTTACTATTCTCATTCTTTAAGGAAACATTTTCTCCCTTAAAAATTAAAATATAATAAATAGTTCTTAGCAATCTATTTAACTCTCTGATAACCTACTCCTTCACCTAGATCACTCACTCAGGCTGTGTGACTCCTCTCACATTGCCCCTCATAGGTAACCAATAAGCAGAGAGCAGACAACTCTGCCTCTGCAATATCCCATCTCCCACCTCAAGCCACTCTCTTCTCACACGGGTCCCTCTGATGAATAGGCAGTCTCCCCTATGTGACAGCCTCTCATACGCAATCTAATTTGAAGCACTCCATTTCTCAACTGTGTTTGATGTTTTCCTGAACAAGCACATTAACAACAGCATTCTCTCATAACCAACAGCAGTTTCCTTGAGGTCCAGTCAAATGCTACTTTCCCCATGAAGCTCTTAGATGCAGCAAAAATTAAATCTTTCTCTGGAAATCTCATAGCTCTGACAATAGTTGGGGGCACTGCTCTTGTTTATTTCCACAACACTGATTAGCAAGAAGAACTGGGTTTCCTCTGTGGTTACTACTATCTATCATTAAAGCACATATACAAAAAGAGTTTGCAGAAATATTTTCCTGAAATATTTTCCCCTCAAACTAACTTCAATCTTATAGATTCCCAGAACCTACTGCTTTCAAAGTCAAACCCTCTGAACTAACTACATGCCTTTAAAAATGACCATTTTTTTCCATTGTACATTAACTACCTTTTGTCTTTGTTGTTGTTGCTGTTGTTTGATTCAAGATCAAAGGAGTATGCAAGCAGAAAATTCCAACAAGGATCCCTAAACCCAAATCTACAGGCATCAGTAGACTTTCCAGCAAAACAGCCCTGGGACCTGTGGATAAGCCTAGTCATCAAAATGGCTGTGAAAAATTACACATCATAAGAACTGTTACCTCTAACACATTCCTCCACATAGAAGGGAAAAGGTAAGTCATAACCATGTACTGTCTAGGAAGATTCATCTCCAGAAACATCCGGGAAGCTACAGTCACGGAAGGCCAGAGAAGAATGGAAACGGAAAACGGTGAAGCAGCACGCTGTCCTACAGCTCACAGGCTGATGGACCTGGTGAAGGGCATGCCCAAAGAAGCAGTGCATGTGTACTTTCCAACTCTCTCTAGAGCATACATACACACTCTCTAGTTCACAACTGTACACCACTCAATTCCTCATGGCACTTGTAACCTGACTCAAACCTGGACTGCAGCATCAGCTCAGGACAAAACTGGATCCACTACTATAGCTCAAGAGCCTTTTGTAAACAAAGAAGCAATCTTTCACTCTACAGATCTTTATCACATAATCACATGGGACAAGAAAATGGACTTGCAAGAATTCCTGACTTATTCGTGAAAGCAGGATGATTTCCACCAAAATGACATAACAATTAAAATCAAACTTTAAGGTCTAAAAACCATCATCTTTATGACTATGAGAAAGAAAAGTAGTAATTCTTAGCTATAAGGAGAGAGAAACAACAAAATTAGTAATAGCTAATTACATCCTTGGCGTGGCCAACCAATAATCACTGATGTGTACATACTTGACTGCTAGCACTCAGCCACTCAGCCTCCTCTACCATTTTTATAGCAGATTTCCCCTCCTAAAGATAAAGTTATAGAATCATATTGCTTTGCATGTAAGATTAAAAAGTCTTCAGATTAGCATTGTGGCTTTCTATATTAATCAGAGCATATGAGAATCAATGGTCACTACTACTGAAACCTTAGAGGGAAATATAAATCACTGTTCTGGTTCTTCAAAAAAAAAAAAAAAGAGCAATAACTTATCATTTCATAGGGCATCTTTATTCACATCCCTTCCCTCAATGTTATACAAAAAGATCAGCAGATTCAACAAACACTTTGGCCCAGGAGACCCAGGATGACATTTACAGAATACTGCATTCAGTCATCTACAGGCTGCACACATTACCCGGGCAGTAGTAACATGCAGTCACTGTTCTATCTCATTCAAGCTTGTGTCACTGATCAAGAGAAAGGAGTGATTATAATTCAGTGTGGACACTGGTGCAATGACATTTTTAAGATGAGGCATTTTAGACTAAAGAGATTTCACAACTTCACAAAGCCCCAGGGACTGGGGTGTCAATGATTTCTATGACCCATCACCGAACACTGGAGGCCTGGGCCTGGAAGAAATCTTCCTGGCTGAGGACTACACTTCAGCCAGCTTTCTACAATGAGCCCCAAAGCAGAAGAAAGAACTGCCATTCCCCACACTCACATGGCTAATCTATTTCAATGCATACATTGATGCCACAATATAACACCCCGGGGGCCATTTAATGAAGAGAGGAATGGGGGAAAGAGAGGGAGGGACAGGAGGAGGAAGCAGAGGAGGAAGAGGAGGAAGGTGGGCAGCACTGAGTTATGCTAGTTAAAGAGGAATGGTGCAGAGCACCAGGCAAGTGGCAGCGGAAGACTGTGGGGAGGACAAGTTATGAGACTGGAACAAAAGCCAAAGTTAAAGGGAAGCCGTAAGTGAACAGAAAAGAGACTGAATGAAGGGGAGGGAGCCAAAAGCAAGACACATCCACAGGGTGCACAGCAGCATGCCTGAGATAAAGCAGGTATTTAATACATCTGAAGCAAATTCAGGATAAGGAATGAGCTAGAGAGGCCATTCAATCAAGACACGGGTAAGAAACTAGGCTTAGAGACAGCAGTGAAGTATGGTAGGATGGGGAAGTCAGTTATGCCTGGGTACCATTTATTATGCTAATGGGGAGATAAACTACTGGAATCCCTAGAGTGAAAACCAAATAGATCAAAAGGAAGCATAAAACAAGCTGGGCACATGCCTATAATCTTACCAAGCTGGAGCAGAAACAGGAGGCAAAAGAAAAAGGGTCATGAGTGTGAGGCTAGTCTGAGCTGTTATACTGTCTCAAAAAAAAAAGTGCTGAGGCTACAGCTCTGGTAGAGAGAACACTCGACTAGCATTCACAAAACCACAGGTTCAATTCTTAGCAGCCGCGCGCGCGCGCGCACACACACACACACACACACACACACACACACACACACACACACACAAATAGGGAGCAACCAGTTAAGAGAGCACTGGTTGCTCTTTGGGAGGATTCTCAGCACCCACAAGGCAGCTCACAACCACCTGTAATTCCAGTCACAGGTCATTAGACACCCTCTTCTGGCCTCCATGGGCACTGCACACATGGAGAACAAACATACTTGCAGGTAAAACACCCACACACATAAGAATAAAATAAAATTGAATTATTGATAGGAAAAGTAACATATACTATCAATGGTTTCAGAAAAACAAAGTGCCTAGGAAAGTTTGATCTTGAAAAGGAACACAAAATATGTTGTATATTAAAGGTTTTAACCTTGTTTTCTCCCACACTGGTACTCTCTCAAGTATGTTTTATATCAAGATGGCATAAATTCATGAGCAAGGAAAAAAAGGAGAAGATATTGTTCAAAGTACTAAAAAGAAAAGATACAAAATAATTGTGGACATTTCTATGATCACCAGCAGTAATTTATCTTCAAATGGTAACCAAGTTCTCTCATTAAGATAAAAGTATCACAAAATGTTCTATTTTAACCAAAGAATTACCAACTACAACACAGGCTTACTCAAAGCCATATCTGAGGCATAACATGCAATGCAACTAAGAACTAAGTATGACTTGGATTTCAACAGCATAGTGTTTGACATATAAAGTAAGTGAAGGAAAGAATCCTGCCACCCCAGCATAACCCTGCTAAAGAAACTGGCCATTATGAAGGGGGGAAATGAAAAGTAAATAAAAGAAGCTATCCTACATGAAGAGGGAGGGGGGTCTCTGGAAAGAATGTGTTTAACAGGAGTAGAAGGGAGTGAGAGAGGTAAGGAGGGTGAAAATGGACAAAACACACCATATACATATGTGAAATTGTCAGAATGTTTTTAAATTCCAAAAGGAAAATGTCCTACAATTCTAGAGTAACTGTGATTAAATTTTAAGAAATAGAGAAAAGTCCAAGTGAAGGAAAATAATGAAACTCCTAAGAACTGATAGTTTTATGTTAAGAGTTCTACTTGTGCTTTGTTTATTCAGCTTCGGTGATCTCTGGATTACTATTTGAACTTTTTGAAATCATGTTATCTAATTTTAATCAGAATGTAATTGTCTCGTATCTAACAGAACTGTGGACTGAATACTAGGGTAACTAATAAAAACCAGTTTTCTCTAGGATATATTTCAAATTTCTTCCAGAGAAATATATAATCCCCTGAGTTTGGGATGTAAGCAGCATCTTCAAGCTGGGTAGGCCAAAATTCTATTATCTCACCTCATTTGACAGGAAGGCTAAGAATAATTTTGATAATGATAAATGTTGAAAGAAATCAAAACAAAACTATTTTATGATAAGAAAATTACATAAAACTCAAATTTCATTGTTTATAAAGTTTTATTAGAACAAGTTACACTCATTTGTTTACATATTTGTCCACTTTTACACTAAAATACCAAAGCTGAGTAGTTTAAAAATGACTGGATCTGCCGGGCGGTGGTGGCGCACGCCTTTAATCCCAGCACTCGGGAGGCAGAGGCAGGCGGATCTCTGTGAGTTCGAGGCCAGCCTGGGCTACCAAGTG